TCATCTCCCAATTCAGCTATTTCAGACATTTCATGACATATATTTTTTCCATACTAAAACTGAAGTCAAGATCTTTTGTCATTTAGGCTGAAACTCCAAAGACTTAAATCATTAGCAACACTAGGAAAACTTCACTCACCTCAAACATATTCAAGAATCTACTGAAAAGCATGGGAAAGTATGACTCCCAGTCGATAAAGCGGCAGTTTTTTATCACGCGAGCTAGTACAGCTGTCCATTGACTATTCCAAAATTGACAGTTCGGTATTGAATCCCAGAGCTCTAGACAGTTTTTTATCCATTTTCTACAAGGTCAGAAGAAGAGAAAACGAAGTTCAAATTCATTTGTTAAAATACGAGAAAACCAGAGATATCACTGATCTCCAAAAAAAAAAGTTCTTACTCGGAGAAGAAATCCTGATTTTCGGGGTTCGTAGGAAGGAACAATCTCACAAAACCAGAGCCCTCAAACGAGGAATTATGCCAAGGATTCTCCAAAAGAGACCTGAACAGAAGAAGATCCAAAAGATGAGCAGAGATATAGCATTTAATAGACTCTAATTACAGCCACCAATCTAGCTACACATACAGTCTTAAAGAGACAAAGAAGGTCCAACTCAATTCTATTATTTTCTTTAATGGTTCTATTAAAAAGCTGGAATATAATCCCATTGCCCCTACTAGTGAAGACACAACTCTTGACTTGCTCGGGACTGCGAGCTTTATTAAGCGCAGACATCTATACATGTATCCTAATAGTACAAGTTTGATATGGTATTAACTCATTAATTTACCCAGAGCGATGTACCATCATAGGGACATGGTATACAGGAGAGAACTGGTGAAAAATACGAAGGCCATAGTGAAAAACTTTGCAACCTCATCAAAGATTCATGCATGATGAACACAATGCTTCCTTCCTATAGTACTTTCCTCCCTTTTCCAATTCTTTGTCCATAGCAGAAATAAACAGTGTGCTTTCACATATAAGAATGCAAGCTAGAATAGGCAGGATCATGATAGCGACTTCACAATTCTCTTGACAATACTAGATACACTAAAGCATTTACAGAAGTAATAGCACTACCATGATGAGAGTAAAGATCTGGTGTCAACAACTTACATGAATTCAGACCATATCTCCGATGCGGCCCCTTGTGGAAAAAATCTCCTACAGGAACGAATGAGAGAAGTAAGAGCCTCAAAGTGTCGTTGTCTCAACCTCCAACCTTCAGGACCCGGGCTCCTATAGAAGAAAGAAGTTCGAAAACATTATACATGAAACAAAACCAAGACATCCATGAGTATCTAAGAAAAAAAAAACATAACTTATGCCTGCCAGATATTGAAAGAAGACTCACCTGCTGAAATGTGCATGAATCAAGGTATCATACAAGGGCCTCCACTGAACTTTCAAAGACAGTTTCTTACGATACTTGTTGATCAGTCTGACTAAAACATTACCCCATCTAACCTATGGTACCATAACCAACCAATCACTCGAAAGGTAAGCATAAAGAAATGGAAAAGCAAGGGTATATGAGGAAACAGAGCAATTAACTGGAGTTCATTCTGGTATTAGTTTTCGAACCTGTGCATACAACTTATTCTCAGATGAATGAAAAATTTGTAAGCCAATTTCCACGAGTTGACTAACATCTTCCACGGACAATTCACTTTTCGCTCTAACAAAGCTGCAAAAGGAAAAACAAACGTCATCAGACCCTGGACCGCTACATGGAATAGCCAAATGCAGCATACTAAGAACCAAGTATGCCCAACTTACAGAGTGAAAAACTACAAGCTGGAATACTACTCAATCAATCACAGGTACATAGAGGCTACTAGAGTAACCAGAAAACCAGTGGAACCAGTCTGTAAAATGATTTTCAGACTACTAGATTGCATGATTTAAGTATAATTCTTAACCTAACTACAATATTCACGCAAATTCCAACATTATACACTGTTTATTAAACCCCATACTAGTCATGTATCGCGAACACCCAAAAACCCTGCAGTATTTTTCGATATACTAACTCGATTGTAAATGGAGCTAATCGTCACTTAAATCCATCATCCTCGTCTTCAAATCCCAATAAGAAGCAACCAATTCGAACGAGAAAACAAACAAAAAAAAAATCAACGGGGTTTTATGCAATCAAACCACAAAATCGAGGACTCACAGTTCGATAACGGAGATCCATTTAAGAGTGGCGTAAACAGACTCTGGATCATCGGGTCGGTGTAACTCTTTGACGCATCTCACGACACGAGCGAAGGACTCTTTCTCCTTCTTCGTCTCCTCCGCTACAGGCGGCGGTAGCCATTCATTATACAGATGCATCGCTTCTTCTCAGTCTCCGTCCTCGTCGTCTTCAAATTTCTGCAGATTGTTGTAGTTTCTCCTCTCCCAGACGCTGAATTTAAGCTGCCTTTGCTTTTTCAGTTTTTTTCTCTAGTTTTCTTTCCAAGCAAGAAAAATCATATCCGAGGAAAAGGACAATGAAAATGAAAACAACTTGAGGAAAAAAATTTATTCTATTGACTTTACCGTTGACTGGTTACCGGCAACGGGCGCGGCAGGTTCACCATTTACCAAAACCGACTAAATAGTAGTATTTCAAATTAGGCCCTTAAGTTTCGTTTATAATACAATTTTACTCTCATTGGTTTTGAAACATTTCACTTCTGCTCTATTAGTTACGAATTTTTTAGATGGAACGCATTACTGTCCACAAGTAAATTCCGGCCAATAAATTGTGAATTTAATTCTGACCGTGCTCCACATACGCATAGATGGATATTTTGTTGTCAACAGGTGGAATTTTATGCAGCTACTATTTGTTCACCGAATTAACTTAAGTATGTATATTATATTGCATATATGATGACGACATTAACATTGCAGTTTATTTTGTGTTAGGTCGGGGTTGTGAATTGTGATAGATTCCCACGTTCTAAATGAGTGATTACAAATCATAGATAAACTATAACTAAACTATCGGTAGATGAGGTTTAGCTGAAGTTTAATGTTTCCTGATAAATATCTTAATTTTGAACTCATAAACAACAAAGTCGTTGTAGTATAGTGGTAAGTATTCCCGCCTGTCACGCGGGTGACCCGGGTTCGATCCCCGGCAACGGCGCATTTGCCCTTTTTGAGTAATGGGCCGTTTATGTAGCTGGAAAAAAAAATATATATAAGCCCACTTATTCGAATTAAAAGGCCTAAACTTTAATTACCTTGGCCGTATTTGTTCCTTTTCCTTTGTAATTTGTATGGTTTAGTTTTTCTTAATTAGCAATAAAATATTATTGAATCAGTACAATTTCTATGTTAGAACGAAACAAATATTTAAGAAATATTAGTGGTCTAAATTGACTGGTGAGTGTTTAAAATTATTTTTTGCGAATAACATTATTTATTGGCTAGATAAAGAAGAAAAAAATCTCATACTTAAACTGGTAAATATCTAACCAACAAAGTACATATGTTGTCGTGTTGACATAAGAGATCCCACAGTTTTTCCGACCAAAAAAAAAGAGATCCCACAGTTTTTGGTGTAAACTTTCCTTCAAATCAAACATAAAAACATCAGCCACGTACGTCCCAACTCGTACAAAATTAACATACGAAGAAAGAGAAAGTGATTCATGCTATTATGAACTAGGAGAAAATTACGAGGATATGCGAAAGAGCATACCCACTGGAATAATTATTGGCATGGAAAGAAAGAAAACATTTGTGGATTTGCAAGACATAATCAAGTGTTTAAGTTTAGTGTCTTTGGACCTTGTAAAAAAAAGAAGGTGAAATAGTTGTTCCTTTTTAGACTTAAATATCTCAATAGCACAAACTTATGATTGTAATATGGAATGTGTAAACAGTTTTCATTTTTGTAAGTGTTTTTTCTTTTCTTAAGTTCTTCAATTCTTAAGTGTTACACGCAATAGTGGTTAACCAAATAAAGACAACTGAAATGTTGGAAAAATCATATGACTCTCATCTTCACGTAATTGTCAATGAGCCATGCTGTCTATTTTGTGCATTTTTCTTGTGCACATGAGAATGTTAACTTGTGCACAGAAGAAAATTGTTTTGTTAAATGGTCAAAGAGCCTCAAAAGTTTTTTACAAGATATAAGCACATACATAGAGTAGTTTGATGAAACATGCCAAACACGTGCTAGATTTTGGCAGTTTGCTATGATTAGAGGAATTTCTCAACAATCCACCCGAAAAATATGTACAGTGAAAGAGTTATCTTAACATGGATAGTTTTCTCGTCTATTTTAAAAACTTGAAAAGATAAACTTATGACTCATTGCCATTAAACATTCTTATTGCAAGTTTATTTTCTCGAAGTTGCATCTGAATAACATTGTACTAGTATTCATTCATATGAGATTGAAATTTGTCTCGAATTGTGAGTCTAATGAGTGTACATACATATCGGATTTTGGATGGGACCATAAAACACGACGTGGTATTTGATATTATAAGTACTGTGCGTCTGTGTTTCGAAGATATCAAGATAACGTTAAACAAATAACACCAACATCTGTTATAGAAAGACAAACGTGTCCTCATAATCTAAACCAAAACTTTAATCTTTTATAATATCTCAAGGGTGAATATGTCATAATGAAACAAAGCCAATCTTGTAATAACATATAGATATGATAAATTAACCAAAACAATCAGTAGATATATATAAAAAAGTTAAATCAAATCTAGTAATGAAAAAAAGAAACGAACCGTCCCTTTCTCCACTCAAGTAGTTTAATTGGTTCTGTCAACGAAGATAAATTCGCTGTTCCTCTCTCTCTCTCTCTCTCTTCCCGTTTTCATTTTTGTGTTCTCTGGCGGCCGATCCCGTCTCTACCTTTTAAGATATTTTTATTTACATGAACCTGAAATTGAAATTAGGAATATATTGCGGGATTATTTGCTGAAATTTCTCATTTCTAGATCGAAAAAGAAAAAGCGGATAATTCGTTTTCGTTTGATTCCTGCCAAACAAATCCTAGGGTTTGTTCTCCCCTTGATCTATATAATTTCATATATTTTGTACTTTTTTTACTGGCTGAATCATTCTCGTATGTCTTAATTTTGTATGTTGTGATTGTTTGTGAATTAAGTGCTTCAGATTGGTTCTCCTTTTTTTCCATTTTTGTCTGCTTTAGTTTATTGAAATTTTTCATTTTGCTTTGAATTGGATCAGCCCATTTCGTTTTGTAGGCATAGACATTGATCAATTGCATGTTATAATGTTTAGTATTAACTTTTAAGCTGTTTTTGATATCCTAAAACTGTTCATTCATTTGTAAGTAGGGATGTAGAGTTTCTTGATTTGGTAGATTTAATTATATGGTTGTGTTTGTATATATATATGCAGGTGCCTTTATTTATCTACCAAAAGAATGTCCAATTATCAAGGAGATGATGCTGAGTACATGGAAGACGTAGATGATGAGATGGAAGATGTTGAAGATGATATGGATGACGAGTTTCGTGGCGATGATCTTGGTGCTTCTGATTCTGATGTTGAGGAATTTGACTACTCGGTAAGTTTGCCTGATCGCTTCTTATCTGTTTTGTTAGTTATGCTACTTTATAACCTCATTTACAGGTTTTTTTTACCTATGTTGTAATTTTGTGTTATATGGTTTCAGAATAATAAAGTAGCTGATACCTCGGCTGAGCAAGCTCGGAAAGGGAAAGATATCCAGGGGATTCCGTGGGACAGACTTAGTATTTCTAGAGAGAAATACAGACAAACTAGATTAGAACAGTATAAGAATTATGAAAATGTCCCTAATTCTGGGGAATCCTCAGAAAAGGTAAGGGTTATACTCTCTGATCCTCCGTTTTTATCAGTTTCTGATTAGCACAGTTACCTAATACATCATTTTTTTGTATGGATTCAGGTTTGCAAGGTCACACAGAAAGGGGGACTATTTTATGACTTCTGGCGGAATTCACGATCTATTAAGTCTACTATACTACATTTCCAGGTTTTTTTTAATAGATTGAGAGTTCACTAACTTGAACTAGTTGATAGTCTTTTTCTTTGCGATTGGATTTATTTATTGTGTTTGATGTGGTTGTGGACATAACATTTGTCTACTGCTAAAACCCTCCATCTGATCAAGAATCTTTATTGGTGTCATAGCTGAGGAATTTGGTGTGGGCAACTTCTAAGCACGACGTGTATCTTATGTCAAACTTCCTGGTTACACATTATTCTTCTCTAACTTCCGGAAAGCATGAAGTTCTCAATGTTCGTGGTCATGTTGCACCATCCGAGGTTGGTTTTTGTCAGAATGTAGAAGTTCTACATTACTGTAACTCTATGTGGTGCTGAACTGCTTTTGCTGCATTTAGAAACATCCTGGAAGTTTACTTGAAGGATTTACGCAAACTCAAGTAAGTACACTTGCAGTAAAAGACGACTTTCTAGTTGCTGGCGGGTTTCAAGGAGAACTTATTTGCAAGGTAAGTCTAGATTTATCTATCACGGATTAATCACACTAGCGACGTGCATTTCTGATCGATGAGCTTCATCTGTTTCCACATTGGTTCAGCATCTTGATAGACCAGGTGTCAGCTTTTGCTCTCGTACGACTTATGATGATAATGCTATAACCAATGCGATTGAGATCTACAACAAACCCAGGTTTGTGCTATTCTTTTGCTGAAAGGTCCACATAAAGTTGTTAGAGTCACTGCTTCTAACTTAGTTTTTGTCTTTTGTTTACAGTGGTGCACTTCATTTTACTGCCTCGAATAATGACTGTGGAGTTAGAGACTTTGACATGGAGAGATACCAGCTTGTTAAGCATTTCCGTTTTCCTTGGCCAGTGAATGTAAAGTCCTTATTTTTTTCTTGGTTTTGCTTTGGATTTAGCATAACTCTTGATCTCTTACACTTGCGGAAAATAGCATGAGCTACAGTTAGGCTTTTATAACCCCATTTCTTCTTTAATGTACCTAATCAATTGATAAAGGTACATGTGTTTTGAATCATTTAACAAAAATGGTATTCTTTGTTTTCAATTTGGTACAGCACGCTTCTTTGAGTCCTGATGGTAAATTACTGGCTATTGTTGGAGACAACCCGGAGGGCCTTATAGTAGACCCCAACACAGGAAAGGTACATATTCGCGGTCCTGGTCACAAGTGTGAGAGATACTCAAATGGTTTGTCACCACGTGTGTGCTTTATAATGCCAAATCTTTTGAATTTCTGCAGACGTTGGAAACACTCTCAGGACACTTGGACTTTTCCTTTGCCTCTGCGTGGCATCCGGATGGAGTCACTTTCTCAACAGGAAACCAGGACAAGACTTGCCGTGTATGGGACATCCGAAACCTATCTCAGTCCGTTGCTGTCTTGAAGGGTAACCTAGGAGCAATCCGGTCAATCCGCTACACATCAGATGGAAAATACATGGCCATGGCTGAACCAGCTGACTTTGTCCATGTCTATGATGTCTCAAACGGGTATGAAACAGAGCAGGAAATCGACTTCTTCGGGGAGATCTCAGGAATATCTTTCAGCCCTGACACAGAGGCGCTGTTTATTGGGGTATGGGACCGCACTTATGGTAGCCTCCTTGAGTTTGGTCGGCGCAGGAACTATTCCTACCTTGACTCGTATCTTTAAGCAAGAAGAGAAGTATACACAACCCTGTCCAAGGAAGAAAAGAGAGCTCATTCAGCAACCAGTGAACATGACAGAAGCAAAGCATAGATTTAATGGATATCTTAAAGGTGGTGTAAATTATGTGTTGTGCAAATGCTAGTTAGTTTGTGTCTTTTGTTTCCTTCTCCGGCTGGTGTGTTATGTTCCTTATGTCTGGTCTCAAAAGGAAAAGGTTCAAGCTTTGTTCAAGATGTGTACAGAAAGGGTTGGTTCAGTGGTGGGACAGACTGGATTAGGACTTGGTGGTGGCGCTGCAGCGGGTTCCAGATTCAAAGTCGGGAGGATCATTGTTGTTCTGTTTGGGGCTTGTGAGTCTTTTTCTTTTTGTTCCTTGTACTTGTGGTTGTTATAGGAACTCGAGTGTTTAGATTCTGTTCTAAGTTTAGAATGTTGAGATGCTTAACTAAATTAAAATAAATTAATAATAGTCCTTTGTTCGTTATAATTCAATTACAAACCCTAATAACAGATGATTTCTCTCTAAACAGCAATAGTACTGTGTCGTATACTATATATGGAAATCACGTCCATTGTTGGAAAGAGAGAAATAATGGAAAACTTTTGTGGAGTATTTTTGGTCCCCTATAAAAACAAAAACAGAGTTTGAACTTTGAAGCGTCAAACCTAATTTCTATTGTTGAAGCTCGTAAGAAGAATGACGACAAAGTCCGATCTTCCAGGTGATTTGGTAGAGGAGGAGATACTCTCCAGGGTTCCTTTCACATCACTGAGATCAGTGCGATCCACTTGCAGAAAGTGGAACGCTTTATCGAAAAATCGGATTTTTGGTAAAGCAGCAGCGAGGAATCAGTTTTTGGGGTTCATGATGATGAATTATAAGGTTTGTTCAATTCAATTCGATCTCCAAGGAATCCGCAACCGCGGCGATTTTGTTAATAATCCATCTGTGAAGCAAGTAAGTATATTAGATCACATCGAGGTATCTCAAGTTCTTCAGTGTGACGGCTTATTGCTGTGCGTCATTAAGAACAACACAGGGCTCTTGGTATGGAACCCTTATCTTGGTCAAACCAGGTGGATCCAACCCAGACAATGTTTCGACATGTTTGACAGGTATGCTATCGGATATGACAACAACCGTAACCACAAAATCTTGAGGATTTTCGGTGAGCAGCAAACAGTTCTTGGGTACGAAATCTATGATTTCAGCTCTAGTTCATGGAAGGTTTCTTATGTCACTCCCGACTGGTCAATACGCTTTTATCAACGCGGCGTGTCTTTGAAGGGAAACACTTATTTTGTGGGTCAAACCGTGAATGAAAACATGGAAGCCGATATCTTACTCTGTTTTGATTTTACAACAGAGATGTTTGTACCGCCTCTGCCTCTGCCTTATCCTTGTGATGATGAGACTGTCTCTCTATCTTGTGTTAGAGATGAGCAGCTCGCTGTGTTATATCTTCGATGGGAAGTTTGGGTTACGAATAAGATTGATCCCTATGCGGTGTCCTGGACCAAGTTTTTGAGACACCACCTTGGTTTTTCGGTTCACATTTATGATGGCAGTTTTTTCATTGACGAGGAGGAGAATGTTGCTGTGGTTTTTGATCTAGACGATTTTAAAGGGGACCGCCGTCGCTACCAAACAGCTCACATCCTTGGACAAGATCGCTACTTCAAATCTGTGAATATCGGAGAAGCTCAGGATCTTGATAAACCTTACGAACCTGGATCTCCTACTCTCCGCCGTTTATTTCGCCCACTTGTGTCCTCTTCTTATGTTCCAAGCTTAGTGCAACTCCAAATTAACCAGCCGGACAAAGAGAAAGAAAGTGATCATTACTAGTTACATTTTCCCTACTTTATTTGTTTCTTCCATCGACTCTCATGTCCTTTTTGAACAATTCTTCAATTTTGTTATTTGCTATTTATCATCAAATAATTCGCCTTTGCCTCTTTTCACTTGCCAATTGTTTATATAATCAACTTGGCTTATTACCTTAAAATCGTGCTAGTTGTTACATGTGGTTAATGTGGGAGTTCATGTGGAAGTAGTGAGATGAGTTAAGAGAACCATCTAGTGTCTTTCTTTGTAGACCCTTCCCGGTGTCGACAAGCTACAAAAGGTACATTTAAACCATCATTTTTGTTGGAATCATCTTTTTTTATCAATTTAGTTTCTTGAGTTAGACAATGACGTCCCCGAGTTTAATGAATAGATAGTGGTGAGAAGGTTGCATAGCATATTAATCTTATGGTCTTGGGGTGATTATCTTTGCTTAAAGTATTCTTCTTTTTCAAATCCGAAACGTATTGTTTTAGTTCACCAACTTGTTATGGATCTGGATCTCTGTTACTATTCATTTGATGTACATTTTAGTAATGAGCCTGCTATGAATCCACACTTGTTTCTCAACAATTATGACTTGCCTTTGGATTAGAGCTTAATACCTTACAGAATCAGTGGTATGTGTAAGATGTTGTGAGTAGAAGCAACGTGTAATTGTGAATCTATTACACGTTTTAGCTAACTGTTGTTGTCTCTCTTGTTATCCAGTACCTGGTTCTGATCAGACATTGACCCTCTCTGCACTGGTCATTTATACATACTTTATTCAAAATAACTGGTCAATTATACATACTTTCTTCAAAATAAGTCAACTTCTGGTTATTGAATATCTTCCTCCTGTTTTAACTATTCCAGTCTCAAAAGGTTCAAGCTCGGTTCTAGATGTGTACAGAAAGGGCTGGTTCAGTGGTGGCACAGACTGTATCAGGACTTGGGGGTGGCGCTGCAGCGGGTTCCGGATTCAAACTCGGGAGGATCATTGTTGTTCTGTTTGGTGGCTTGTGAGTCTTTTCTTTTTGTTCCTTGTACTTGTGGTTGTTGTAGGAACTCGAGTGTTTAGATCCTGTTCTGAGGTTAGAATGTGGAGATGCTTAACTTTTTTTTTTTCTCACAATCGAACTTTTATTCAAACCTTCAAACGAAGGAAGAGAAACATACATATGATACAAAGCCGGAGGACACATGTAAGTCCCCGGATATTTAGCCGGCGGAAACGAGAATTCCCCGGAACTAAAACACAAACTAAAAGTACAATAACATAAACCAATTACACGCACAAAACCACAATCAAACAAACGAAATCTAATAATTAACCCCTAGAATTTTCTTTGAGAAGTATCTGTAAACACAATTACTTCTTTTCCGAGAACTGAATTTTGTTGTTGATGACGGAAAACGCCATAACCACCGGAAAACTCTGAACTACTCGTCCTCTCTTGTTATTTAATCGACTTAAGAAAATAAAACATCTACTTGCAAATCCAATTTGATGAGGCTTCGATGATGAAGCTTTGGAACCATCAAAAACAAGTTGACACCGATAAGCATAAGTAGACCTTTCAGATCTTGACCCAAATCTGATTGTGAATTCTTGTTGGAGGAAGCTGAAGGAGCCGCCTAACCGCAACATCACCCATCTCAGAGATGAGAGATTGGGATCAATCGGTTGAAGGCCTTGGGAAGAGAAGCTAAATCTGAAGGATTTGAAGAAAGCTAGGGATCAAAATTGATTTCAGGAGTATGTGGCTTGGGCACATCATTGGTCACCATAACATAAACTTTATTCGGTCATGGACAACCGAGAGCAAAGCGGCAAGAATCGCCGACGGCCACGCCGATCATCGAGACTATAGAAGTCAAATCGATATCGGATACAAGCCAACCAAACACCACAAAGGATTTGGTGAGTGTTGGAAGAGAGCCCGCTAAACGGGAATTGATAACCGGAAAAGATCCGGACGGCAACGGAGATGCTTAACTAAATTATAAGAAATTAATAATAGTCTTTTGTTCGTTATAATTCGATTACAAACCCTAATAACAGATGATTTCTCTCTAAATAGCAATAGTAATGTGTTGTATCATGTATGCTATTTTTGGAAATTACGTCCATTATACAAATAACTCAAATGTTCATATTTATAACATGAACTATTTGTTGTTTTCTAATATAAAATGTCCACAGATAACAAACATGAGAAGGCGTTGTTGAAGTCATGTCAGTGTTTTCAAACAATTGTCCTAATTAATAATAGTCTTTTGTTCGTTATAATTCGATTACAAACCCTAATAACAGATGATTTCTCTCTAAATAGCAATAGTAATGTGTTGTATCATGTATGCTATTTTTGGAAATTACGTCCATTATACAAATAACTCAAATGTTCATATTTATAACATGAACTATTTGTTGTTTTCTAATATAAAATGTCCACAGATAACAAACATGAGAAGGCGTTGTTGAAGTCATGTCAGTGTTTTCAAACAATTGTCCTAATTAATAATAGTCTTTTGTTCGTTATAATTCGATTACAAACCCTAATAACAGATGATTTCTCTCTAAATAGCAATAGTAATGTGTTGTATCATGTATGCTATTTTTGGAAATTACGTCCATTATACAAATAACTCAAATGTTCATATTTATAACATGAACTATTTGTTGTTTTCTAATATAAAATGTCCACAGATAACAAACATGAGAAGGCGTTGTTGAAGTCATGTCAGTGTTTTCAAACAATTGTCCTAATTAATAATAGTCTTTTGTTCGTTATAATTCGATTACAAACCCTAATAACAGATGATTTCTCTCTAAATAGCAATAGTAATGTGTTGTATCATGTATGCTATTTTTGGAAATTACGTCCATTATACAAATAACTCAAATGTTCATATTTATAACATGAACTATTTGTTGTTTTCTAATATAAAATGTCCACAGATAACAAACATGAGAAGGCGTTGTTGAAGTCATGTCAGTGTTTTCAAACAATTGTCCTAATTAATAATAGTCTTTTGTTCGTTATAATTCGATTACAAACCCTAATAACAGATGATTTCTCTCTAAATAGCAATAGTAATGTGTTGTATCATGTATGCTATTTTTGGAAATTACGTCCATTATACAAATAACTCAAATGTTCATATTTATAACATGAACTATTTGTTGTTTTCTAATATAAAATGTCCACAGATAACAAACATGAGAAGGCGTTGTTGAAGTCATGTCAGTGTTTTCAAACAATTGTCCTAATTAATAATAGTCTTTTGTTCGTTATAATTCGATTACAAACCCTAATAACAGATGATTTCTCTCTAAATAGCAATAGTAATGTGTTGTATCATGTATGCTATTTTTGGAAATTACGTCCATTATACAAATAACTCAAATGTTCATATTTATAACATGAACTATTTGTTGTTTTCTAATATAAAATGTCCACAGATAACAAACATGAGAAGGCGTTGTTGAAGTCATGTCAGTGTTTTCAAACAATTGTCCTAATTAATAATAGTCTTTTGTTCGTTATAATTCGATTACAAACCCTAATAACAGATGATTTCTCTCTAAATAGCAATAGTAATGTGTTGTATCATGTATGCTATTTTTGGAAATTACGTCCATTATACAAATAACTCAAATGTTCATATTTATAACATGAACTATTTGTTGTTTTCTAATATAAAATGTCCACAGATAACAAACATGAGAAGGCGTTGTTGAAGTCATGTCAGTGTTTTCAAACAATTGTCCTTGCAATTTGATTTTACAAAAACCATTAGCTTTTCTTTTCCCAAGGAGTCACAATATTCAATGGTGATATATATGTTATACCTACATCACATATCATAAAGTAACATAACATGCATAACAAATAAAAATGACGCCATGTTTTTGAAGAAATGATCTGGATATATGGATATGCCCGTAACACTACAAAATGGCACTTGCTAAAAGAAACAAGAGAGACACTAGTTCGCAGTTAGTAACCTCTTCACTAGCTCTAAAGCCATCATAAACATTAAACATGGCAAATTCTGCAACTGATAGAAAACATAAAATTTTAAGAAAAGAAAAAACAAGTTCTAGAGAGAGAGAGAGACAATGTTACAACAAACACAATAGACAACAAATGGGAGAAAAGCTACTGAGCCACTGTAGAAGCAGCAGCTCCTGACTCATGTGAAGACTTATATTCCAACATCTCAATTCTGTATCTCTCCACATCCTTAACTCCTTTGTCTTGATAAACCTGTAATGATGAACAATTTTGTAAAAAAACAAACACTGGTTTAATGAAAAAAAGAAGTAGATATGATTTGATGATGATACGTTTACCTGTTTCTCAGATTCAGTGAGGTTGCTCCACATGTGTCCTATTTTCTTGGTGATGCTTCGTTCTTGTCCATGGTACTCAGGTTTAAGCCTAGCGTACTGCTCAGCAAAGAAGAAGTTGTAGCCACTCCTGTGGCATTTGGGCTTCTGAGTATCGACGACAGCCAACTTTGATTTCTTCCTATGCCGGCGTTGTGATGATGGTACAACGGCTGAAGCTGTTTCCATGGTTTGTTGGGACTGACTTGGCGTTTGAGGAATGTGGTAAATCACACCTTTCAGCTCTTGAGAACCCAATTTCATCGTCACCAGATAGCCGTTATCAAACTTCCCGTCAATGAATCCTTGAACCTCATACCCAACTTGTGGTTCATCAATACCTACAGGTTCCACAACGTAATCACAAAGACAAAACGGTCAAATTTAACTAGACACACACGTGGTGAAACCTATGCGGTAATCTTAAACGGATAAGGAATGGAATCAAAGGAAAGACAAGTGTATTTATTTGTTAGTGACTTTAACTCACCAAAAAATGGGTTGAAACATAATAGAATCTAAAAGGAATGAAACAGCCATAACACGTTCAGCACATGAATTTTTGACACGTAATGAACCCGAATGGGGAATCAAAAGCCTAGCAGGCATTACTTCTATACAGAGAACTTGTAATTAACTCTATCCAATGGAAAACTAAATACAACATTCTAAAAGCTGATGCATGGACAAGAGGGATGAAAACAAAAGCCACAGACAGAGTTAGAGAAACGTTACTTATACCTTCCTCAGGGTTTGGAGATTCATTGGCAAGGCTCTTCATTGCTTCATCTGGAAAAGCATGAGAATTTTGGCTTATCTCAGCATGTCACAGAGTAACGAAAAAAAAAGCAAGACACCGATAAGAATTTTAGTGTTGAAATAGACCTGTTGACTGGATTGAAGACACTGGTTTTTCAAGGTAATACACATGTTCCAGTTGAAAAAGAAACTTGAGATAATACTTCCTCAAGACAAACGATGCACTTGTTATCGTTGTCGGAAAACTGAATGCACCAATCACTTCTTTCCATTTCCGATCCTTAACCACCTAGAGTAACAAAAACATACACATTTCAATACTCAATGGAACAACAAATAATCTCCCAACAGTATGATTAATGGCAACATGAACTCCTACCCTTTCGATGCCACCTCGAGAAGTAACCTCGATGAAAAGCCGATGCAGATCAAGAGTATTCCCTCCCACAGTAGGAACCCTTATACAGAGACAAAAAAAGTTTCGCTATCTTTCAGTGATCAATTAATGGAAACAAGAAACAACAAACACATAATAAGCCTAAACTCATTCATAGAGATTAGTAAATACTAAATCCAGTTTGATTTCATTTCCTTATGCACAATATGGATAGGTAAAGAATATGATAAACCTAATTCAACAGAGGATACACATGACATAACGCACTTCCTGCATAAACGAAACACAGTGAAATGTTTGGTGAATTACAACTAATTGACATTAAACCCTAATTGACCATTTTCAACATTTCACTGAGAACAATCTCTAGTTCTTTTGCTTCAATCTCAGCAAACAATATATCAACACCTCAACCCTTAAATCTCTAACCCTAACCAATCTTCGAGCGAGGTACAAACAAAAATTGCATACACCACTGATAAATCCTAGAATCACAGAACAAGAAACACCTTTCAATTTCATCGACACGAGACAAATAGAAAACCCAAGAAACGAAACAAAGTAGGGTTTTTTTCTTCCACAGTCATAACCCAAGAGACACAAGAATGAGAAAATGAGAAAAGGGCAAAATAAAAAACTGACTTCAAAGTTTGGCTGGTTAGTCCGAGAACAGCTCGGAGCTTATCCCAGAAGAGAGCAGAGTTACGGACAAGATCATCATATTTGGCAGGAGCAGAGGAATCGTCGCATCTCTTGTTGTCTGAAGGATAACCATTAACGGGCTCCACGTGAGTTAGAGAGTAGGGTGAAATATCGGTCGACATCTTTTTCTTTTGGCCGTCTTGGTAAAGGTAAGAGCAATTGAGACGACCGTATTTAAGATTTTATTTTTCCTAAGAGATTAATAATCTTATCTTATAATTTGAACAAAAAGGATAAGAATTAAACGAAATTCACACAAATGTGAATGATTTTATCTTCAGAGATTTTGCCCTAAATCATATTTTTATCTTCAGAGATTTTGTCTACCACTCCATGTCCTTTATATTATTTAGTCAACACACAAATTTATTTACTTCCTTTTTTTGGCTAATTACTTTCATTAGGTTTAGATGAAAACTGAGAGCCGAGCCCATAACAAAAGCCTCTTTCTCAGTTAAAAGGCCTACCGAATTTAACGGCCCATTAAGCTAATCCCAATAATGGCCTATTATTTTAACCAGACCGGACCGGTTGGTCCAACCAGAAATAATCTATTTAGCCGAATCTTGATTGAATCAAAAACCAGGATTTAAGTTGAATCACTAAAACCGTCGGAAAACCGTTATAACCAACCGGTGATCCGATTCGAGATCAAAAATCTGGTTCACGAAATATCGTTAAGCTATTTTCCATCCGTTATAACCAAAACATTGTCTCGTGTTTATTGGAAAATGTAAACATCGTATTTTAACTATAACCATTGGGACAATATCCTTGAAAGACCTTAATTATTACAATCTGGAGAAACAAAAAAAATGTTTGATAACACAACAAGAAGAAGGAAGTTTTCAAGTTGGTATAACTAATCGCGAATCAGGAGAGAATTGTAGGACTAGAAGCCGAAGTATAGAAACGAGCAAGATCAATTGTGTCAAGATATAGAAACCGAGCTTACATGTTTTTCCAAAGATGTCTCCACGGTTTGATCCTGGATCTTCTGTCAGAGAATGTAACTTCTTAGGTTCTTGGAGTACTTGTAGTGAACTCAGAGATCTTGTGAGCATCAAATGCTCGATTTCAGTTTCGATCTTTCTCTGGAAAATGCCTTCAAGTTCAGATTCAATCTTTGAGTTTTCGAGTTCTTGGATCCTAACTTCCTTTGCCTCGAGCGCAGTTCTCGCTTCCTCTAGTTTGTGTTCCAGATGTTTTACCTTCTCCTTCAAGATCAGTGCCTTTGATCCTGAGGATGTTGAGTTATCTTCTCTACAATTTTCTTGACTTGGTTGGTCTGCACTCAATTCATCGGTGTTTGAATGTAGTAGTATAGATTCCTTACCCAGCTCCTGGAAACTTTGAACCTCTGCACACGTTTCAATCACATAGTTAGTTTAGAAATGTTATATAACATTGATAATATAAAGGGTTGATATTGTTTTGGATAGAAGGAACATGAGAGCTTTAGGAGATGAACATTAAAACAATTCACATGGTTATCGAAATCAAGGTTTGTGTGCAAACCTTTCCAAAGAGCTTCCTGCAGAGCTGCAAAGCTTCTGATAGAATCTGCAAGTGGATCTTTATCTGCCCAATGATTATTGTTTTTCTTACTCTCATCTCCATCGTCTTCTTTATACCCGTTTTTGCTTCTGCTATATGTTTGAACTTCCTCCTGAACTTGACCTTCATTGCTAAATCCCCCAATATAATTCATCGTCAATCTCTCATCTTTCTCTCCATGGTTAGTAACAGAAACCGAGCCACTCGAAAACACAAAATCGCTACTTCTCAAGTCGGAATCCAAGCTAGAACAAGGATTCTCCTTCTCACTATTCCCCCACTCCTCGCTAGCCTTCTTGATGGTATCACTCCAGAGTTTCTCTTGGCTACCTGAAACAATCTTCCCTCCTACTACATTCTTTGCACCTATGGTATTACCACTATGCTCTTCACTTTTCTCAAACGCTTGGCCAACAGCAAACATACAACCTATATCGGGATTAAACTCGTTGGCTACCCCTGGATGATGCACCATATTCACAGACCCAACAGAGCCTTCACTACTCTGCCTTGCTTCAACTGAAGAAAAGTCAACATGTTTAGAAGGAGGATTCACCAAACCAGCCAATCCACGCTTCAGAAACTTACTACCATCATCAACAGGAGCAGCCTCGTCTCTCACAGGACCATCTCTTTTAATCCTTCTCCATTTCTTCAATCCAAAACCTTTCCTCGTAGAATGTACTGATCCACCCGGAGATTCAACACTGTTCGATCGTTGAGGTGATCCAACACCTCCTTCCTCATGATCATTATCAAGTAATACTAATAATCCATTTGCAGGGACTGAATTACCATTGTCTTCCACAGATTCAGGGACTGACTCATTCATGCCTAAATCCATTTCACAATATAACACTCCGTGTTAAGTCTCAGAAAAAATATACAAGAAACAAAACAAGGTATCAAATTCTTTGTCATCAGAGACACAAATCTGAAAATTTTCCAACCTCTAAAGTACTTAGATTCAGCTCACTAGTTCAAAACAAAGAACTGATGTATAGTGTTATCCTAACCTTATCAACGAACTACAATGAACAAAACTCAATTCCCAATTCAACAACTTAAAGAAACAGAGAGAAGCGAATCGAATCCAATTGAAAAGCGTACCTTAAACAATATAGACAAACTAATCCAACGAGGCAACGAGAGCTTCCCCGAGTTATAGAAGAGCAAGAGAAACAAAATCCTATGGAATTTAGAGCATCAATGGTCATGCGACGGAGGAATCCGCCGACATTGTTGAGTTATTATTACCGGAAGAAGCTGCATCAACGAAAATCATTAAAGTGGACGATATTATTTTAGAGACACAGGAAAAAAAAACATAAAAAGATAAAAGAAAGAGAAAAATAATGAAGAGGTGCGAATTACACGTGGGACCCACATGACATAAACCCAGTGCGCCAAGCTGGCCGTCCGATCTGGAGTAAAACATGTCGGAATTAAAGTGTGTATACATATGTATATGAGCCCAACATATTGGGCTGTTAAGGCCCATTAAAACTAGCCTCTCCTTCAGGCCATTATTTATTTTCAAAATAATGAAAAATGTGAATTTCTATTTTAAAATTTAAAACACTTATGTGATATCATATTCAAAATAATGTTTTATGCAGATTTGAACATTTAAAAATCATTAAAAAAATTATCTCCTTAAAATGAATTCATTTTTTTATATATAAAGTAGAATTTTTCAAGAAATGAAAATGCCAATTAAATTATCTTGAAGTATGGAATTGTTTTATAATGGTAAAATCTCCATTATATTGTTGTATGACATAGCTAAGTAATTCATTAAATATAAATTAAGTATTTTAGTAACATGTAACAAAATGTGATTACCATTTAATTTAAAATATATTATAGTTATGTCAATTTAAAACATACAATATCCACAAATTTATTTTATTTAATTTTAATATTTTATTATAGTTGATTTTCAAAATATATTAGTATTTTTACTGATATTTATAAATATATATAATTATGTAGTGGATAAGATTCAAAAAAATAAATTTTGTCATAAAGTAACTATTGTATATCATCTATAGTTTGAGACAATAATTATGATTAAATATTCTGTTTGAGAAAGTATTTATTTTTAACATTATTCATATCATTATAAACATTATAACAATATATTATATGTTTTGAGTGAATCATAATCTATTATATATACATACAAACACTCAGAGTTTTAAGATATTGTAAGTTGTAACAATCATTTTCTATCAACAAAAAAAAAAAAAGACAACTTCTTCTTCTTCTTTTTTTCACACCCCAGTTCCTAGTCCGAGAAGAAACCCTCAAACAATTTAGATGCCTCCCACAATGTCTTGTTTGATTCCCAAAACAGTTTTCATATTCCTTATAACTTGTTTTGTGTGTCTTGGACCTTATGCCCATGCAAGAAGTTTGAATTCACCCGTCATGGAAGAAACCAATCCGCTCATAAAAACGACGAAGGTTGCAGAGAAAAACAACGAGAAGAATGTACATGTAAATATTATTTATGGAGGTTATAATAGTGGACCTTCTCACAAAGGAAAAGGTCACGATGCACCATCACCGCCAAAGGTTCCGATGAATATAATCTATGGAGGTTATAAAAGTGGACCTGATGATTCAGGAAGTGGTCACGGTGTACCATCACCACCAAAGGTACCGAATGATATAATCTATGGAGGTTATAAAAGTGGACCTGATGATTCAGGAAAAGGTCACGATGCACCATTACCACCAAAAATGCCAATGAATATAATCTATGGAGGTTATAAAAGTGGACCTGATGAATCAGGAAGAGGTCACGGTGTACCATCACCACCAAAGGTACCGAATAATATAATCTATGGAGGTTATAAAAGTGGACCTGATGATTCAGGAAAGGGCCATGATACACCGTTACCACCAAAAACACCGATGAATATAATTTATGAAGGCTATCAAAATGGACCTGATGATCAAGGCAAGGGTCACGGTTCACCGTCACCTCCTGTTTAATAAGAGATGGCATAGTGTTGGGTTCATTTTCCTTATATGGCATATATAATGTGTGTGTGAGATATATAAACAATAATTAATATAATTAATAAAAAAAAAGTTTGTGATGATGAAGTTGCACTGCACTCTAATTTGATGAGGTAAGATGTGATACAGGTTAAAACTAAAAATTTTAATCGAATCTTATAGTTTCAAAATAAAATAACATCAACAAATAAAAATAAGATTACTTAATTATTTCAAAACTCAATATACAAGTGATCAAATAATGGAAACGGGAACCAGACAAATATTCAATCTTTTCCTTAATTCGTACACATTAATAAAACTGATTTCATGCTTGGAAAAAGAAATGTCAAAGTTCAAAATCCCTAAATCGAAACAGACAGCCAGATAACACTAAAAATGTATTATTACAAAATATCCCTTACAATTTTTTTTTGAAGTAATGCTTATATATATGTGAGGAGAAGTGCTTAGTGAATGAATGAAATATATTGAGATAAAGGTCGAAGAAGAGATCCGTGCGGGAGAGTGCCTAATATATTAACTACGTCAACATGGGTCGACGATTGACTTCTCAACCAAAGAATGTCACATTCCCTCTGTCTATTTATCAATAATAGTAATAGTGACTCAATACTCAGCACTCAGCGCAGTAGTATTTAAGTTGTTTATATCTTTTGGATATGATCATGCTTTTGTTTATTTATTATATAATCGAAATTTCGTCTAAATTCAACGTGATGAGATGTGTTGCGAGGAGCTTAATGTCAACCTAAATCTACCTAAATATCGACTTTGCTCAGAAGTTGATTCCTCGACGCATGCAGCATACTTATTTACTATTTGACTATTTGAAATCAGGTCAAGAAAAAAAAAACCATCTAAATAGCAGTATGCAAATCATAAAATAAAGATAGGTGTATATTTTGAACCATAAAACTGATTCGAATCAGGTGTACAAGTTATTTATAATTTATCACATGTTTTAGCCAAATATAATCAATATTATATTTTTAGTCATAATTAAAATGTGTCCGTGTGATCGAATAGTTTCTTCATTTACTTTATTTTCGTTGTCTTGCCAATTTTGGTTGCGTGAAAAGAACTCAGGTTTCATGTGAGGCGTTGATTGTTGAATTCATTGGATTAATTCCTTCATCCACGCGCCTAGTTTTTCACGTGAGAATTTTGAATGGGGTCTATTTGTGAGTAAGCAATATCAAAGTATATCATACGTCGATTTTGGCTTTGGTATGTTTGGACAACGAAGAGATAGAGCCCTTAAATTTGAAGCAACTATACTACTAGTATTAATCAAATCAACTATCTTAAACATATCTCTTTGAATATTTTATTATTATTTTTATATATATTTTCTCCATAATCACGGTTTATGCGTAGGTAGGAATAGATCGATTAGTTAAGTTATTACTTAATTTGTAACGACATATACAGATATATCTTCGTGAGTCGTCTGTATATTTCTAGCTATGCTGTTCAAAAGTAAAACGAGACTACTAGAAATGTAGTATTAATTTAGTCGTATATGACCAAGATGTGAGTCATGTGATGACCAAAAAGAAAGAAGAAAAAAAAAAAAGAAGAGAAATTGAACAAGTTTACGTGAAAAAGGGGATAGTTGTACCAAAAATCAGGCAGATTTGAATGCGATGATTCCGCTATTTTAAGAAAACAAAAATATCATCTTCATTATTAACGCATGAAAGTGACGGGTAGGATTTTCAAATCGTATCGACTTTTCGTCTTTTCTTCGAGATTTCGACCCATTTCTATATTTCAAAAGTATTTTTGGACCAAAGTGTTTTTTTTTTTTGGTCTAAGATAATACTCCAATATGAAAATAAATCTAAAATGAAATCATATAAATGGACACGAGAGAATCTTTGGAGGTCACAAGATGTGCACTCGTGCGGCCGAAGAAACTGACAAAAATGCAACCCTACTTCGGCCCCGGCCCGCGAGCCCACTCTCGTATTTTCATAAACTTTTAGTATAATCCCGGTTATTAAATAATCTATTTTCTTGGCCCCTCAGTAATCGTATATAGTATTTTATACAGCTTTTTTTGGACCCTATTAACATCTACCACATTTACAAAAGACATCCTACACACCAACGATTTTTAAAAATGTATAGAATATGCAATACGTGAAAGGAGGACTTTGAGATCATTTTGGCCTCTTCCCGTAAATTATTCGTGATATTATATATTAATGTCACGAATTTTTCGATCTGAAAATTTCGACTAACTGATATCTGTGTTTTTAGGTACAAGTTAGAAGATAGGAACGACATAGATAAAGTTTGAATTGATTTATCGAAATAAAAGTTCTTTTGGTTTTGTTCGGCGCAACTACTCGAGCAGTGCAAATTGAAGTTCATTATATGCACGAGCAGCGCAAGCAGCCAAGCACGATGCATCATTGCATAAACAAGTGAAATCAACGACATCCAACTTTTTAAATAATTAAGGGCATGTAATTTATAAATGTTTTAAATTATGAAAGGATTTATACGTACGTATAGTTAGTTGGTAGTTTTTTAGAACGGGGAATTTGTTGAAGTTTTAAGGAAAAATTTAAGTTTTTAACAGGTCCGGTCCATTGATAATCCTAACTTAATCTCTCGTACCTACCAGAATTAAGCTGCTGTCACGTCTGTTGCCATTCATATATATTTTTTTTTGCAATTCATAATTGGTCAACATTTGAGAATAACTATGGTAATATATAGTTGAAAACACTTGCATTTTTTTTTTGGTCGGGATAACACTTACGTTTCATGCATTTATTTGATATAAATGTATAGAGAAAAATATTAATCAAAACTTCTTCTTTTTTCTGAACATATCAAAACTTCTTCTTTTTTTCTGAATAAATGACTAGATTTGTTGTTTTTTCTGAATTTATATATTGCACAAATACTGAATTCGGAGATTTCATTGACATAACATGAGAACACTTAAAAAACAACAAATCTAGTCCCACACAAAACAGAACCTTTGTTAGATTTATAAAGATTCTCCCTAACCTGTAAGAGCATCTCCAATGGTGAGAGCCCATGGTGGGCTCTCACCATTTTTTTAAGATTAAAATTTTCAAATTTCTGAGATGAGAGCTTTTGTTAATTTTGCAAAGTCCAATGGTAGGCTCTCTTTGTGGGGTTCTCAGGAAAAAATTAAATTATTTTTTTAATTATTTTATTTCATAAATCTGAAAAATATTACAATTCATAACATATTAAAGATACAATAATTTCATACATTTGAAAATAAATTTGAAAAAAAAAAACGATTAGTTATTCTGTTGATTGTTTCGAAATTTTCTCCATATATGCTCAACCAAATCACTTTTCAATTGTTGATGCATATTTTGATCACGAAGTTGATTTCGCATGCCCATCAGAAGCATGTGTATGAATAATTTCGCATCGCCTTCCGGTTAGCATTCCCGTGCATAATCCCAATAAGCATGTGTATGAATAATTTCTAAGGCATTATAACAAGGACCAACATTCCATACACCATTCAGAAGATGTTTAAAAAACCATGTCAGTGATATGCATTGCCTCGTGAACAGATTTTTAATCTGATCCTTTGCCTCATATTCGTCCTGTCAAACAAACAAACAAACACATGAACATTAATTAATGCTTAAGCAACAAATCTGTTTTATCAACATTCTAAACATTGGTTCCTACGAAGAATTTATTTGGACTAGAGCAATGAAACAAAATCTGGACTTACTTGACAGATGATGCACTTTCTATGTTCAAGTAGTGTATCTAAACGGAATGATTTGACTTTCCGGAGACAGCTTTTGATCTGTTTTTAACCCACAAAACAAACACAACACTCAAGAATTAACATAGAGACATCATCATCATCATGTTATCGACACTGAGCCTCAAATCTGAATGTTGAGACAACTAGAAGTCCACTACTCATAAGAAATACATTTATCAAAGGATACATTTCTCATTAATCATTGCTTTATTATAGGTAGCTTAAATATTTATAATAGATCCTAATCATTAAGAGTAACATATGCTTTAAGCTTCAAAAAACTACGATGCTAAACAAAAATAAACTACGACGCTTTGTAATTTACATGGTTTACCAATTTGGCCATATCTACAAGACAAGCTCTCCAATTAAACAAGATATAGCTTTAACATTGTAAAAATATCTTAAGCATTAAAACTAAATATATGATCTATGCTTCAAATATAATAACTTCATTTCGAAAGACTAATACTTTTAGTTTTTTTATAAAAGTAGACAAAAGCTTTTGGAAGTAAATGTCTTACCGATTTTGCCATATTCATAAGACAATCACAAGTTGTATCCACCACCATACCCTGTCACGTCCTAAAACAATCATCAATCCTCCGAGAAGGTGAGAACAATATATATAAGTTCTGTCTTTGTCATTCCAAAAACAGTATTACTGCATATATAGACGCATCAAACCTCTTTAAGTAAACAATTTTTATTCAATTGTCAATACTTCAGTAACAAATAAAAATGAGAAGTCACTCATACATTATGGTGATGCTGCCGTAAACAGGATCAAGCTTAATCCTAATCTCAAGCTCTCCACCATCTTCAAGCAAAAAACGTTCCATCACACTCAAGAGCCTCTATATCACAAAATCAATATTAACAACAATCCATCTCTATATCACAAAATTTTGACTTACTTTATAAGTTCCCTGAGAAATACCTCATTGTGATTGTATAAGCTATGAACAATCAAATCCAACAATCGCCTAAACTTCAAATGAGATTTTAAACAATAAAATCCTAAAATTGTGTATCCACTTCACCAATAAAAGCTGAATCAAAAGCAACCCAGAAACAAAGATAAGAAAAATTCAATTTGTAGAAATAAAAAACAGAGATGCACACAAAATAAAGTTTGAAATTTAGAGAAATGATAGAAAAACCCAACCTTCATCGTCGGCAGAGCACCAAAACGGGGCTGTAAAAGACGGCAAGGAGAGAGAAAGAAAAGGTCTGAGCTTTGAGAAGAGATTGTGCATCTGAGGTAGTTGACCGCACGATGTCGCCAAAGAGTAGCCACTGATCTTGAATTCGTTGAAGCCATTGATGGTTTCAGAGCAAAAGGTGACTCTGTGAACGACGGGGCAGTCGTTGAAGCCACTGATTTTTTTTTTTTTGTTAAAAAAAAATCGAAGGCTGAGAGAAGGCCACGTCGTCGGCTCTCATGGTACTCAACATTTCTCTCAAGAGAGACAGCTCTCTTCTTAATTCACAGTTTTGATTTATTTTTCAAAAAAAATTTCAAGAGAACCTACAAAGAGAACCTCATTTTGCATCCATTGGAGATGCTCTAAAACTCAAATTTTAAAAAACAGTTGACGTGGAAGTTGATCGAGTGCAATTAAATTAATTGCACGAATACTATTAGGTGGGAATGGGAGATTAATAATAAGGAAAAAATTAGTCTATAATATAATGATTATGCATCCTCTTTTCACGTAAGATTAGTCTCTCAGTTTTGTCTTCTTTAGCTTTTTCTCCTCTCTTTGCCAAATTTCTTCTCTTTCGCTTTTACAATTTTCCAACAAAGAGGAAAAATAAGACAAGATCTCATTCACTTCTTCTCCTTCTTCTTCTTTAATTTCTATCTAAAGCTGTCACGAGAAAAGCAGAGAATTTCTCATCTTCTCATTTTGTCAAGCAAATACAACTCGTTTTTTTTTTTCCGGGAAAATTCGTTTTTATGTAGTGGTCGTACTAAACACGCTTCCTTTATGTATCTAAAAGCTGTAGAATCTTAAAGCAGCCCTTTTTTTGGTTGAATTCAACAATTTTTTTTTTCTTTTGTTCCGGATCCGACCATCTCTGCAACATCGTACTTTGGGAGACAACACTGTCGAAGACCATCTCCGTTGTCTTCTTCACTTGAAGAACTCTCTCTCTGTCTCTTCTCTGTACTTTCTCCTTTCTCTTTTTCCGTATCTGTCAGCCTTTGATTCCGCTTTTTTCTTCACAATCTTCACCACCATGTATGTATTCTTCTTCTTCCTTGAAAAAGACTTTATTTTGTCTACTTCTTTACTGGTTATTTCAGAAAAATTAATCTTAATTTCACTTTGGATTTTTCAGTGTTGCAAGCTCTTCTCCGGTGAAGTTTTTGGTTGTTATGGAGGAAAGGGTTTTCTCTCCATACCCAAAAAGAAGATTCTTGAGCTTGAAATTGCAGTCTTTAGGCTGATGATTTCTTAAGGGAATTTTATCGAACACTTGGTGGGCTAATAACATGAAACAACAATGGCAGTTCGTGATCCTCTGCTTGCTCGTCTTGTTTCTAACGGTAGACGCCCGTGGCAGACGGCTACTCAGCGACGACGTTAGCGACGCAGCTCTGTTAACGGTGTTCAAGCAAATCTCCGTTAAGTCTGATCCTAACAACTTTCTGGGTAACTGGAAATACGGGTCGGGTCGTGACCCATGTTCTTGGCGAGGCGTCTCTTGTTCTAGCGATGGTAGAGTCATTGGACTTGATCTACGAAACGGTGGTCTTACCGGAACCCTAAATCTCAATAATCTCACAGCGTTGTCGAATCTCCGGAATCTTTCTTTGCAAGGAAACAACTTCTCCTCCGGAGACTCCTCTGGTTCTTCTTCTTCTTCAGGATGTTCTCTCGAGGCTCTGGATATATCTTCAAACTCGATTACGGACTCTTCAATGGTGGAATACGTTTTCTCTAGCTGTTTGAATCTGGTTTCTGTTAATTTCTCGCACAACAAGCTCGCCGGAAAATTGAAGTCTTCTCCGTCGACGAGTAACAAGAGAATCACCACCGTTGATCTCTCCAACAATCGCTTCTCCGATGAGATACCGGAGACTTTCATCGCGAATTTCCCGACGTCTCTGAAACACCTCGATTTATCCGGGAACAATTTCACCGGCGACTTCTCTCGTCTCAGTTTTGGTCTCTGTGGGAACCTCACCGTATTCAGCTTATCACAGAACAGCATCTCCGGCGACAGATTTCCTGTTAGTCTCTTAAATTGTAAGCTCCTCGAAACGCTAAACCTCTCTCGGAACAGTCTCACCGGAAAAATCCCCGGAGATGAATATTGGGGGAATTTTCAGAACCTGAAGCAGCTCTCTCTCGCACACAACCTTTACTCCGGTGAGATTCCACCGGAGCTTTCTCTGCTTTGCCGTACTCTAGAGGTCCTCGATCTTTCCGGGAACAGTCTCACCGGTCAGCTTCCGCAATCATTCACCTCCTGTGGCTCATTACAAAGCCTAAATCTTGGAAACAACAAGCTCTCCGGCGATTTCTTAAGCACCGTCGTGAGTAAACTCTCTAGAATCACTAATCTTTACTTACCCTTCAACAACATCTCCGGTTCTGTTCCGATATCACTCACCAACTGTACTAATCTCCGAGTTCTTGATCTGAGCTCAAACGAGTTCACTGGAGAAGTACCATCTGGCTTCTGCTCTCTTCAAAGGTCTTCGGTTCTGGAAAAGTTTCTTATTGCCAACAATTACCTCTCAGGAACTGTTCCTGTTGAGCTTGGTAAATGTAAGAGCTTGAAGACAATTGATCTTAGCTTCAATGCTCTTACTGGTCCAATTCCGAAGGAGATATGGACATTGCCGAATCTCTCTGATTTAGTTATGTGGGCGAACAATCTCACCGGTGGAATTCCGGAGAGCATTTGTGTTGATGGAGGAAACTTGGAAACGTTAATCTTAAACAACAATCTCTTAACCGGTTCTCTTCCAGAATCAATCTCCAAATGCACCAACATGCTTTGGATCTCCCTTTCTAGTAACCTTCTTACCGGCGAAATCCCGGTAGGAATCGGAAAGCTTGAGAAGTTAGCGATTCTGCAACTTGGGAACAATTCTTTGACTGGGAACATTCCACGTGAGCTTGGAAACTGCAAGAACCTTATCTGGCTTGATCTTAACAGCAATAATCTAACTGGGAATCTCCCAGGTGAACTTGCAAGTCAGGCCGGACTGGTAATGCCCGGAAGTGTCTCTGGTAAACAGTTTGCGTTTGTGAGGAATGAAGGTGGGACGGATTGCAGAGGTGCAGGGGGTTTGGTTGAGTTTGAAGGCATTCGTGCAGAGCGGTTAGAGCATTTTCCGATGGTTCATTCATGTCCCAAGACTCGGATATACTCAGGCATGACCATGTACATGTTCTCCGGGAACGGGAGCATGATCTACTTGGACCTCTCCTACAATGCGGTTTCAGGTTCTATTCCTTTGGGTTATGGTGCAATGGGATACCTTCAGGTCTTGAATTTGGGACATAACCTGTTAACTGGGACCATACCGGATAGCTTCGGAGGATTGAAAGCAATTGGAGTTCTTGATCTATCTCACAACGATCTCCAAGGATTCTTACCTGGATCACTAGGAGGACTCTCTTTTCTAAGCGACTTAGACGTCTCTAACAACAATCTAACCGGACCAATCCCATTCGGAGGCCAACTTACGACGTTCCCAGTCACAAGATACGCCAACAACTCTGGCCTCTGCGGGGTTCCTCTGCCACCTTGTAGCTCTGGATCCCGGCCCACGGGATCTCATGCTCACCCTAAGAAACAGAGCATTGCGACTGGGATGATCACTGGGATTGTGTTTTCATTCATGTGTATTGTGATGCTTATTATGGCGCTTTACAGAGTAAGGAAGGTTCAGAAGAAGGAAAAACGGAGAGAGAAGTACATTGAGAGCCTTCCGACCTCCGGTAGCAGCAGCTGGAAGCTCTCTAGTGTTCATGAACCGTTGAGCATCAATGTCGCAACCTTTGAGAAGCCGCTGCGAAAACTTACTTTCGCACACCTTTTAGAAGCCACAAATGGCTTTAGCGCTGATAGTATGATTGGATCAGGCGGGTTTGGAGATGTCTACAAGGCTCAACTCGCTGATGGATCTGTTGTAGCGATCAAGAAGCTGATTCAAGTCACGGGACAAGGTGATAGAGAGTTCATGGCAGAGATGGAAACGATTGGAAAAATCAAACATCGAAATTTGGTACCTCTTCTTGGATATTGCAAGATTGGTGAAGAGAGACTTCTTGTCTACGAGTACATGAAATACGGAAGCTTAGAGACCGTTCTACACGAAAAGACCAAGAAGGGTGGAATCTTTCTTGATTGGTCAGCGAGGAAGAAGATTGCAATTGGAGCTGCGCGTGGGCTAGCTTTCCTGCACCATAGCTGCATTCCTCATATAATCCACAGAGACATGAAGTCAAGCAACGTTCTTCTAGACCAAGATTTTGTAGCCCGTGTCTCAGATTTTGGTATGGCAAGGCTGGTAAGCGCTCTGGACACACACTTGAGTGTTAGCACGCTCGCTGGTACTCCCGGATATGTTCCACCAGAGTATTACCAGAGTTTCCGGTGCACTGCAAAAGGAGATGTGTACAGCTACGGAGTTATACTTCTGGAGCTTCTCTCAGGCAAGAAACCGATCGATCCAGAGGAGTTTGGTGAAGACAACAACCTTGTGGGATGGGCTAAACAACTCTACAGGGAGAATAGAGGAGCCGAGATTCTTGACTCAGAGTTAGTAACAGACAAATCTGGCGATGTTGAGCTACTTCATTACTTGAAGATTGCGTCTCAATGTTTGGACGATCGGCCGTTTAAAAGGCCAACTATGATTCAAGTCATGACGATGTTCAAAGAGCTAGTTCAGGTCGATACAGAGAACGATAGTCTGGATGAGTTTTCGCTCAAGGAAACGCCCTTGGTCGAAGAATCACGAGACAAGGAGCCTTAAGAAGATGAGAGATTGTGGAATTCAGGAAGATTTGAGTTTTGTTATTTTCTTCCTATTTTTGTTGTTAGTGACTCAGTGTATATAACAGTAAAATGGAATGACAGACGCCGACACTGAAGGTTTTTTTACTATAGAGAAATACTTCGTTGTAAAGTTTTTGTACCTTTGTTTCATTTTGTTAACAAATTAATCTTATCGTAATTATAATTTTCTGAGCATGGCATATGCTTATATGTGATGATGATTAACAATATGCTAAACTTTGATTTTTGGCGATTAGGGAAAGAACACTTCATGTCAGACAAATAAGATCTCTCTGCTTATTTCGTTGAAGATTATGAATACATTACATATGCGTTACAAAAAAGTGAAGAACAAAAAACGATAAAAATTAATGCGTCTTTTTAAAAGAAGAAAAAAAAAATACTTTAAGGGATAGACATACATACATTTCAATTTCATGTATATACGAATAAACCATATACTTTTGAAAATCAATTTCATAAAATTTAAAACAATTAAAAAGAAAAGACCCAAAAAACAGAAAAATGCCTCTCAATCGATTGAATCAACAGAAGAATCCAAACTATTTTGTTGCATTAAAAATATATTTTTTTGTAAAATTTAACTTAGGCTCCAGCGTAAGGGTTAGGCTTTGGTGTACCCTTGACTAGACCACATTGGAGGCTTGTCTCAGGCATGTTGTATTCATCTCTCAGTGATTTCTCTGGTGACAAGACACTCGCGTAAAGCTGCTGTCCTAAGTAACGTCTCTCGGAGTTTTCAGATCGAATGTTCCACATTCCACAGTTGTCGAATGTGAGCAAGATTGCTGCCCAACATTTTGGGTAGACTTGGACTGTGTGTCTGCTCACTGCGTCCAGAAGGTTGTAGTTCTTTCTCTTCTCTGGAGTCCAAGTCCCTGGCTCGACACTTTGAAACAGAATCAAATTGAAAATTAGGTTAAAATTAAGGATTTCTTGTATTGCAAGAAAGTAGTAGGTGACTTGTTATGCAATAAAATATTGTAAGAATAGAGTGTTTTGTTTCACTTACGCGACGGCAAAGAAGGAGTAACCGTCCAAGTGCCAAGACTGAACACTCTTCTCGTGGTTCTCGAACACCACCTCGATGAAGGTGCGGTGAGTGATGTTAAGAACATTTGGCTCGATCTTGATGCTCTTGATCTGTTCTGGGGTTGGGTTATCACTGATGCTGTCGTACTTGAAAACCTTGTCGGCAACACCAAAGTACTCGGCGAGCTTCAATGGGGTTTCAGGGTCAGTGTGCGAGACTCCGTTCAGCGCGTACCTGAGCTTTCCATCGACCTTGCCTTGAGTGTTCACAAGCTTGATGGTGCGTGTAATGTTGATCTTTCCGTAGTGGTAAGAACCCTGAGGGTTAGGCCTGGCCGCACTGGCGGTCAAGTTCCATCTGAAAGATCGGAACTGGTTCAAGGACCAAGCCCAGCCAACTGGACCAGGGGGTAGCTGCGAAGAAGCGGGGCCTTTTCCTCCCTCATAGCGGAGAAGACCGGTAGTGGTAATAACCGACTTCAAGAACCTAGAGGATGCAACCATGTAGTAATCTTTAGCTTCCTGATTAGCGGAAAGGATGGTTCCGTAACACTGACCGACGTGAACGTCCAGAGAGTCATAATCGTTCTGGAGAACGTGCGATCCTTCCATCTCAACGAGCTTCAACTTGTGATTCTGAATCCTAAAGTTAAGAGATGTCTTGAGACCCACGTTACAGACCCTAACCCTGTAGGTCTTTCCAGGTTTCAAGGTAAAGAGAGGCGCATCGGATCCATCGCCTTTCCCGGCTTTTCCGTTGATGAGAATACCATCTGGACGGCCAAGAGTACGGCCGCCATCAAGGAATTTCTTCAATTGGGTGTGGCTCTTAGTGTACCAGTCACCGATCAAGACGGTGTAGTCATCTTCTGGGTCAGCGTAAGGGACCGGGATGAGGAGACGGCTGTTCACACGGAGTCCACCGAATCCACCAGCAGAACGGTGCAAGGCGGTGCTGGGGTAGTAGAAATAGCTTCCGATCTGATCCTTAGGCTGAAAATGGTAAGTGTAGTTGGTGCCGGGCATTATCGGACACATAGTTCCTGGAGTCCCATCTTGCCAACAGTTCTTCCTGTGTTGGATCCCATTCCTAAAACGCAAGAAAAACATATATTATATTACAAGCAGACTCTTAGGTAAAGAGTTTTCTATTGAAAACAATGATATTTTTTTGTTAAAAGCGTGAAATTAATTAATGTTATTACCATGTGAGGAGGAAAGGTTCGTCGAGGTTGTTGAAGACATTGATGATGATGTTGTTGTTGGAGGTTGAGTTGATGTTGGGACCAGGGAATTGGCCGTTGATCAGAATGACTTGTTGTGGAACGCCGAGCGGAGACACGGTTCCGTAGGTCACGTTCCATACGTGATGGAAGTAAGGGTCTTCTGCTCGGACCACCACCGTTGCGGCTGCGGCCAGATAGAGGCACGCGGCCAAGAGTTTAACCCCTCGCATAACAATAAACAATTTTTTAGGTTAAGATAACAGTTTTAGATTATTTGTGTTTTGGTGGGGTACTAATTGTTTATTGTTATATAATTATGCTTTGGGGTATGAATTTCGAGTTGTGGAAATGTTTCGAGGCGTTTTTATAGGGTTTTTTTAAACGAATGTTTTTCCAGGTTTTTCTCGTCTTCTTTGGGGTCTCCTATCATTTCGCTATTCCTTTCGTCCATATTTGGGAATATTGAAGTTTAACCTCTCTCTATTTTTGGTGTTTCTTTTTAATTCCTCTTTTTTTTTGCCCTATGTTTCTTGGTTTTGGTTTCCATTTCTTCGAGAATTTTGCTATTTTGGATTTCAAAATACTCTCTACAAGATAGAATTCTATAATAATGTCATGTGATAAAGTTATATAGGACCTATAAACATTTTTAACAATAATAAGAAAATATTTTGAAAATCATGTTTTTTTAAAGTCATATTTGTGTAGTACATATATTTTGCTTTGGGTAATTGCGTCTTTTTTATAATAATTTTTCGTTATGTATATTTCGACAAATCCACTTACACAAACGTTTTATATAAATCCAGACAATAATTCTATATGTCACGTTAATACCAGAGGCAACATTAGATGATATTGGCGATCATGTTATTCAACATAGCATTTGTTCACAAAATTCTTACAGGGTTAGGAATATATAGGAATCGTTTTCTCTATATTCTAGATACGCATTCAAAAGATTAAGTTTTTTCAATAAGTAGTATCTCGGCCTTGATACAGTCCTACCAGCTAGTCAACCGTTGATGGAAAAGTCATGGAGAGCACCGGAACCTTAAAGTAAAATTAAACAGACAATTAATTGTTATTATGTTAACACTCCTTTTCATTCATTTTTTGATAAAGGAATACACTCCTTTTCGCCAAACGAGAAAGAAGATAGAATCACCTATGTGTACATTTTTGGGGTTGAAAATGCGAATTTTATTAACTAAAATGGAACGGTTTGTTTTACAAAAGCTCTGCGAAGCTCGTGGTTACATCAGGCCCAAGATATAATAGTAAAAAGCCTAATGAAACAGATGATAATCGTGAAGTAAACCATTGCTGGAGTAGATTTGAGAAGGCATGAAGCTCTTTTCGGGCCAGAATTCCCTTACAAAATTAAAATGTCGTCGAACATAGTGGAAAGTTTGCAACTGGATACATATAGCTAGTAGTTGAGAATGAGCAGGAATCATCCACAAGAACAAGTCTTATAAATTATATAAACACATTTCATATATCACCCTAATTAAGATCAATGGGGTTGTCTTATAAATATCATAGATATCATAAACTTTCACAAAATATAAATATATATATATATATATATATATATATATATATATATATATATATATATACACTACAAGTTAACAAAAAAAAAAAAGAAGCGAAAATGAGCAAAAATTAATTAAAAACATTTTCAATTCAAATTTGAGACACTAGAAAATGATTAATAACCACCAAATACAATTAAGAAATGTAACAATACAAGAAACCAAGAATTTGGAGAAGACCACGAACATTTCACATAAGACCGAGGATTTCAATTACCATTTATTGGGTCTTTCTCAACATCCCAACTCACAATATACATATCTATATAAATACGATAAATTATTTTTTTATATATAAAATACCGTATACACACATGTACATTCGTAGATAATTATCGTGTTTTGTAATTGAAAACATTTTTAAAAAAACATAATAATTATCGTGTTTCAACAATCTATACAAAAATTAAAATAAAAAAAGGAACAAAAGAAGATTAGCATTCATCAGTTTTTTTTTTTTTTTTTTTTTAAGGCATGCATGTTTCTTAAGTGAAATTCACAAAGTATATAATTAGGTTGGTAACTCTGTAGTTTCTTACTAAGCTGTACCATAATATTTTTGTCCGTGTGTAATAATCAACCGTAGATGAAGTATGCTAAAACAAACAAAATCACTTGATGACACTTGTGGGTAGTTAATTTGGCATCGTTAATTAGAGACATGTCCAATATTAGAATAAGATCCGAGTTGTGTGCTCGTTCAAAAAATCGGAAATCCTAAGGACCAACGAGAGAGAAAGATTCAAAAATAGAAATTTCACGTAAAGAGAATTAGTGATGCAGCGTGAAAAAAGGCAACGATTCCGTGCAAACCAAGGTACCTTCATCTGCATAAATAGTTAGTCACAACATCACCAATAGACTCGTCAAAAGCAAGAGAACATAGTTTCTTCTTGCTTTTGTGGAAAATAATTATATATTTTTTATATAGGAAAGGGTTAATTTATTAATAAAAAAAATAAAAAGAAGCAGAAAAGAGAGAATGCAGGGTGGTAGGCTTTTGACGGTGTTGGTGTGCCTCGCCTCCACGGTGGCGTTGGTGAACGCCGGTGACCCTTACTTCTACTACACGTGGAACGTGACCTACGGAACCGTCGCGCCTCTTGGCATTCCTCAACAGGTGATTCTCATCAACGGACAGTTCCCTGGCCCTAACCTAAACTCGACCTCCAACAACAATGTCGTCATCAATGTCTTCAACAACCTCGACGAGCCTTTCCTCTTGACCTGGTTTGTAACCAATCTGTCTCCTTATTCCTTTCGTCACAACTTGTCATTCAATTGTTTCATACCACGT